ATTTAATAAATGTCATAAAATAAAGATCATGAATTTCAGAACATAAATAAAATTGGTAATCGCTAGTGGCAGAATTTCAAAACACTGCCTACCATTTAACGAATCACATCGTATCGGTTATCTTAAGCGGCGACTCCTGTCGCCTGTGAGCTCTTAAATGACAGACGGTCGTTGAACGTGTGCGTGCGCTTACCTTTCGCGGAGGCTGCAGGTCCGGGGAAGCGTTGTCGTCAGGCATGAGCGGCGGCATCAGCGGCATCTTCTTGCTGCTGTACAGCTTAGCGACGCTCAGCTTGTGTTGAACGTCAGCCAGCTCATGATCCTTGCTCACCAGCTGCTCGTGAAGACCCCCGAGCTTCTCGATCTCAGTCGCCTGTAACCATGGTAACGAGAGCGAATACGCAAACAATGTAAATGAGTAATTTACTGGCAAATGCGACGATCTGACTTGAGAGCAGGGTGAGATCAAGAGCACCTAAACTAGAGAGCGAACAACGATAAATACTGAGGACCGCGTGTTGTTTTTGGTCGAAGTGTTATACGCACATAGTTTGTACAATGTACAGCTTGTTAACTTGATGTATGAGAATTCAAACAATAAAATACCTGGAATTTGAGTTTGCGGATTAAATCCTTGGTCTTGGGAGAGGCTTTCTTCTCTGTGGAGGATGCTGGAATTTGCCTCAGAAGGTAGAGTAACTGAAACCAGATATGAAAATGTTGCGAGAATGACTGGCGCACAGCGAAACAATAAAGAATTAAGACAGCTGAGAACTAATTTATTTCTTACTACAGATCAATACTAACGAACCAAATGCTGCTGCTGTGCTACTAGCTTACTGCTATCAACCAATTTGTACATCAAGCGTGTCACCTTTAACTCCCCTGACAGTAAAAACACATCCTCTCAATCATTTCTTTACGATGCTCAAGACACACAGAAGTTTCACAAGTATACATGTATTCCCTGTAGGCAATCTGGCGACCTTGCACTGACCTTGTCCTCGTGGTCACGCTGTGTGGTGAGCAGCACGCCCTCGTGTTTCCTGTCGTTAACCTTCATGCGGTTCTGCAGGCTCTCGCACTCAAGCACCGTCTGGTCGAGATTATCCTGCAAGTTCTCCTTCACCTCTAGGTTTCTACCTGATTCCAGCCTCGCATCCACCACCTGTACACATATACCAGGTAACATTAGTGATATCAGAAAGTCCAGCTGCGTTATTTAGGTCATAGAAAAAGGGGGATAAAATGGCCGAGGCGCGCTACAGAAAGTACATGATTAATGTAAACACTCGTGCGTTTTTAGTTTTTGCATTAACACAAACATTGCAAAATATCCCAAATGACCATATTTGTAAATGTTTGTGTAAACAGAAACGCACCTGTGAATTGAAGTACGATGTTAGTGAAGAGAATTATAGATCAAAAACCTTGACTAGTAGTATCGTAACTATATGTTACATATAGGCAACTTATCACCACTCTTATCTGATCTCAATATGGCGACGGGTACTTTCCAATATGGCTTATTAGGAAGGTGGCATCTGGCTGGTGTATACACATGGCTATGTATGTGTAGCTATAACATACTTGTCTTTGCTCAGTTAACTACCGTACACCACACATGTACACGCATGTCTACACACAGTTATCTATACTAGTATAGTATATACATGTTTCTGTGATATAGTTACAGTATGCATAGATATAGTATATGTATGTCTAAAGCCATGTGACTATAGTCTATAGCTAGTGCACTTATGTTTGTGTCAATGTTGCTGCAGTATACATGCGTGCGGATATAGTATATGCACTGTCGTGTCTACCAGCATGTGACTATCGGATGCCGATAACAGCGGAGGATTGAGAAGAGAGTTTACCTGCTGCATGAGCCATTTCAGCGCGCATTTCGCCTCGGCCATCGTCGTGATGCTGTCCCAGCGTTGCTGTCGTTTGTCATCAAGCTCTGGGTCGAGAAGTCTCTGCTGCATGTCAGCGATCTGTACATTCCTGTGTAGGCATGACAACAAGGAGAGAGCATGTAGATAACAACAACAAGGAGAGAGCATGTGGATAACAACAAAGCTATTCAGTTTGAACCGCTTCGTGGGAAACAGGTGTTTTCGATTTCAGACAGAAGAGGGAAAATACTAAACACAGCTTGAATGGTCAATGCTGATCGATTTTTTACCAATTGGACAAAACTTTTTTTAACGAGTAACCATTGCAGATTCCCCTACTGTAACCACATGATGAGCCAACGTTATGACCATTAGACAACTGCCGCAAATGAGACAGGAATGCATAGGCCAAGATGCTGGCAATACATTTGCTTGAATACCCTCACGTGTGAGTTTTGTGCGAGTGCGCCGTGCTGCCATCTGCTGGCTACAATACCTAGTTTCCATATCGGCGTGAAGCTCTGCTATCTGCTGCCTGATGTCTGCCTTGTCTTGACTCGTGTCGAGATCCTCTCCACCCTCCCACGCACGTCTCTACAACGAGAAAACCGAATCATCGTTATGTCCATACAGTCCAAGTCTAATCTCACACCCACCAAAAATTTGTACTAAACACCTTATAGGCATCCTGCCCCTTCTAAAATATTTTTACTGGACCATTGCACAACACTGCTGAGCGAGAGAGAGAGAAAGTTGAGATTCACTGCAAAAATATGCCATAGATTTCGTGGGAAGGCAACCACAAAGCAGTATCTGGGACAAACAGGTCGGGACCCGGCGTGGGTGGGTTGGCGTGTGGTTGGTTTACCTTCGTCGCAGGCCCGCATGCCTGCAGCTTGCCCCTTAGCTCTGCCATCTGTTCGGCCAGCTCTCTCCTGTCGTCCAGAAGAGACTGCAGGTGTCTCTTAGCCTCACGTGTGCTCACCAGCACATCGAGTTGTTCCCCCAGACACGCCTGCAGCAGAACACACGAGAAAAGAGAATGTTTTTTGGGCGTTTACACACCAGCTGCACACATCAGGGGTTCAAGCTTCAGACTGACTGTCAATGAGGAATTTATATTGAAGGGTTTTCAGGATCTTTTTCTGAAATATATAGTGATATATTTATATGGGAGACCTATATTTAGTGGAGCGCTCTCATTAAGCTGAATGAAGTTGTACAGTAGCGTGTGTTCACACAGTATTGTGGATGTTGTAAGATTCATACTAGATAATATCAAACAGCTATGGCAGCCACTTCTGCTATCTTTGTCCCCCTATTTGGTTTGCCAGCTTTACTTTCGGCCAAGCCCATGCGACTTTAAAAAATGCGACTTTGAAAATTAAAAAAAAAGAAGACAAATATGAAACGTAGGAATACTGGCACCCCTGCAGAGTTTACAAACAACTGTGTTCTCCACAACACTGTTCACCACGTGTACACCCCCCACCGCACTGCACATCCAGCATACAGGTACAGCGTACCTTCACCCTCGTTCCAATACTCTTGATGTCATTTGCTGATAGTGGCTGTTCAATCTTCCTCGACGTCTCCCTCCGCTTCGACACCGCATCCCTCAGCCTCTTTGTGGCTGCGGCTGCCTACAATAAATTAGTTATAAGCATTAAACGTAACATCGCACGGAACGAGAGTCCACTCGTCGAATATGCAGTGCTGTTTACAAGATGAAAGCATATGGCTATCAATTAATTGGTACTACAACATGCATTGCGCGGCTATTTACTGCAGCACAATAAGAAAATTTAGGGAGCAATCCATTCAACAACTAGCCACTAATGCAGGCCCAGTTACCCATCCTATGCAGAACAAAGGTGTATTATAACTCATACTACAAGGGTAGAGATGCTGTACACATGCAGGTGTACACAGAACACATGTGTATGATTACCTGTACACAGAGCACAGGTGTATGATTACCTGTACACAGAGCACAGGTGTATGATTAATTACCTGCTCCGTCTTCCTACGCAGCACGCAGGTCTGTAACTGATGCTGCCGCTCCAGCTTCTTGTAATCACAGAGTCGCTTGCGATCCTGTGCTTTCAGCTGCGTAACCCTTCTCCTTCTTCTGCTTCCACAGTCGGAACTGGTCCGCCTCCTCCTTCATCTGTTTCATCAGCTTCACTCGCATTTGCTTAATTTGCTGAGAGAAAGTAAAGACTGCGTCGTCAGAGAGAGGAAATGGGAAGCTAACAGGAGGTAGAAAAGAACAGGTAGCAATAGCAGGGAGTAAACACGAGAGAGAGACAGAGAGAGAAAGAAAGAGAGAGAGAGAACGAGAGAGAGAGAAAAAGAGAAAGAGAAAGAGAGCGAGAGAGCGAGAGAGAGAGAGAGAGAGAGAGAGAGAAGAGAGAGAGAGAGAAGAGAGAGAGAGAGAGAGAGAGAGGAGGAGAGATGAGAGAGAGAGAGAGAGAGAGAGAGAGAGAGAGAAGAGAGGAGAGAGACAGAGAGGAGAGAGAAAGAAGAAGAGAGCGAAGAGAAGAGCGGAAGAGGAGAGAGAGAGAGAGAGAGAGAGGAGAGAGAGAGAGAGATGGTGAGAAAATAGAAGAGCAAGTACTAGCCGCCCCCCCCCCCCGTCTATACCTAGTGTAATAAAACTCACCAACACATCATTTTTCATCTGCTCAACTTTCTTATCACTCTGTTCCTTCAGCCTCAGCATCTTTGTCTGCTCCATCAACCGCTTCTTCACCTGACCCAGCTGAGCCTCTAGTTCCTTCAGCCTCAATCTTCTCTGTTCGCTAACTCTATGAATATGATATAAACGAATACAATAAATTTTACTCAATTATAGAATGCCAATCATTTCTCATGATGATCCACTTTTAATATTTACCGTTACAAAGCAGTTCCAACACTTTGTACACATCACAGTGTTTCCACCACTTCCGTTTGTGGGACTCACGCATTCATCAATAATTTAGATGACGAAATCTGATGAGCCAAGCAGGAATTGTTTCTACGACTGCTGTAGCTTACTTGTTGCAAGCCTTGTTGGTCTTTGCTATCTTCAGTTCCTGCACGAGGCCATCTTTCTCCTTCTGCAACTTCCCCACCTCAGATTCAAGGCCATTCACTGCCGTCTATACCACAAAAACGAAACCCAATAAAAAACAAACACGCAGACTTAAGACAATCACCTAAAAATTCTGCCGCATGCAGGATTTCTCGTGATGCTCCTATACGTGCAAAAGCTGAATGTTGAACGTAATACATGCACAAATGAAATAGTACTCGATATCGGCAAACGAAACGCTGGTACTTACGTCGTACTTATTCCTGATGGACGTCATGCGATCGTCGTTCATTGCAGCCTTCATGACGAGCTCTTCCTTGAGCGCGAGCGCAGAGTTCAGGTCTCGCAGGTCCCTGGTGAGCTTGGCCTGCCGCAGCGTGTAAGCCTTGTTCATCTCTACGCCATCCACACCTTTGCTAGGACTCACCATCTCGCCATCGTTGCCGCCAGCATCCTCCGTTTCCAGCCATGCCTAATGAACGCAACACCGTCGGTCAGGGTATTAGCCAGGAATGAGTGAGTATTGTGCGAGTGCAGAAAACATATTTAGGAGTGCAATTTTTTTGTACGTGTATCAATATTTTAGGCCGTGCAGTTTCAAAACTGACCGTGCAAATCACGGCTGCACAGCTCGCTGGCTAATACGTTGCCGTCGGTACGACACAAACTGCATATATACATACATGTTTACAGTAGCGTATGTACATAATGACTACACAACAGAAATGCCACAAGGAGCCTCTATAGCTGTTGTGGAAATTCTATAGATCGAGGTAGATGGTCAATTTGAATTTTCATCAAGTTGGACATCTTATGTGTTTTATCATCACTGTATTTTAAGAAGTGCCATGTTCTTCTTCGTTCTTGTCGCTTTGGTTTCCTACGATCGGTATTACTGTGCTGTAAATTATAGAAGCAACCGATTCCGGGGTTCAAAACAATTCACATCCGAAGGAAATGTTAGAGAACCAATTATGTACAGATGCAGTAAGGATTTATACACTTACTTATCCATGAGACGAGAATCATGTAGTTATGATAGCGCATTAACTAAAAGTATAGCTTTATTAATTAGGTGTAGTTTTAGGGGTTTTATTTACCCTTTTGTTTTCTTCTGGTTCTTCCATATTGGACAGGTTTATCTCCTCTTCCTCAATTTGCCTCTCCTCATCCTGCATGAAGAAGCAAGATAATTATTTTAAAAATTAACAGAGATTAGTGTAATATACTAACTTAACTTACACCAGGTTCACTCACAATATATTATGGTTATCATGTTATCGTGCAATCGACTATTACTGCTCGTATCTTACACAATAATCTACATGCATAACATTACCATGAGAATAATAAGTGATAATTTATTCATAAGAAACTAACCATCACTCTATAAAATTCAGCACTGACTGAGACTGTAATAGTAAGGTAAGTTTTAGAACATGCAATCACTGCATTACAGCATGCGTTATGCGAGTGGTTGCATGTTTACCTCCAACGCTGCTATCTTTGTCTGCAGATCATCAACTAGACTTCGCTGTTGCTTCGCCACCTCACTGTCTGTTGTGTCGTTGAGAATGTTGACAGCCACCCTACAGACATGCAGGCAAGACGTTCACAATATTAACCATGACATATATAAGCAAGGCAGAACAGCGCGTCAGGTACGCGCACTAGGATGTTGTTTCATGGAGCGTCTCGGCATGTCTCATGCGCTGAGAGGGTCTATGTCCCCCAGGGTACTGCCGGAACGTACCCTGGTACCATCTAATATGCCGAACCGTACCTCGCCTACTACACTAACGAGTCTAGGGAGTCGCCTACGCCTACTCCCTAACCCTAACCATATCAGTAAGGTACCAGGGTACGTTCCGGTATACCGGACCGTACCCAGGGTATGCTCCGGCAGTACCCTGGGGGACATAGACCCTATGAGCGTCTCATGCCAAGGTGACGACGGGCCCTGTGGTATCATGGGTACGCACGCACTTATCGAATTATGGGCCATGATTACCCGTTTCATTATGCTCAATGACATAGTTATTATTATTAAATCTTTATTGCATGTAATTCAAATACAAATACACGTACTGAAGACAGTCTTTTTCATGGAGAAAAAATCGGATATATGCAATAGTGTTGACAGACAGTTTAAGGGGCTGGTCCGAGAGGAGACTCACCCTGTCTGTTTCTTCAGCTCCTGGATCTTCAGCTTGATCTTGTCTCGCGCGGCCTCCGCCATGATGACCTTCTCACACAGCATGCGAGTCTGCTCCACCGATGATTGCAACTCCTGCACTAGCTTCTCATTCTCCTCCTGCCAACAGATGGCGCCACAATACAGACATGCTGGGAGAGGATAAACCATTATGCTCAGCTGAATGTGGAGAGCTACGTCGTTACGCGTAGACAATCTAAGATATACCATGCCATATATTTTAATGATTGTTACGTATGCTCATGTCTTACCTCTAGAGCTCTGTTCCTCTCTTGCAGCTTTTGGACACTTTGGCCGCCCCTGTGAGTAGAATACGGATGTGACTACATCACATATTACACATCAAATGATTCAAACGTCTTCATTCAGTATGGACAAACAAAAATAACATTGATAGTTTCAGTTGAAATTATTATTACTTAGTTAAAGAATACCAACGACCATTATTAATGGTGATATATATATTCAAGGCCCTTGAATCACCATATATAGTGAATATAAATATACTAGAGTATGAATTGGAGGACTGTCTATGCATGCATGGATGAGGATCACAGCAGGACGAGGCATTGTGACTAGTACTCACCCATCTCCTCCTCCTGTTCCTATGCTCCCACCATTCTGTATGAGTTGCACCTGTAGTTGTTGTACCTGCAATATGCATAACTTGATTATAAGCAATCACAATCAAACAATCATGCATTGATTCAACTAAACTTACTGAATCTCAGCAGGGTTCCCCCAGGAATATCAGAAAGTACGTTATTCATGAATGGAAAAGGAGGGCCAGTGAGAGGGGTTTACGCCTCGCAATACATGAATTAAAACAAAACTTTAGTAACCACTGTTGTCATTTTTTGACACATTATTTTCACATAAGGGGCAGGAAAATATTGAAAAGAAACAGGAACATAGTACACGGGAACTGTACGACATCGCACAGAGGGACACGTACCAGGGCTCTGAGTCTAGCCACCTCGGCGGCCTGAGGGTCTCTGTTGATGATTGGTTTATTCTTTATCTTACGCGCTCGGTCAGCGTATCTCAGTGTGTTCACCGTCTCTTCGAGGTTGGAGTCGGCCGGGCTCACGCAGGCGATCATAATCGTCAGACTATTACCGCCAAGCGAATCTGCAAACCAACAGAAAATTTCGTCAGTGTAAGTTATTTTTAACTTAATTTGGATCTAACTGAGGTAAATTTTATTAGCATGGCAACAGAAACATCAGCGGACAAACAAGAGAAAGACACACAACTTCAGCAGAGCCGCCGAGCATTCTAAGCTCGGAGAGTGTCACACGGAGAGAACAAATCAAAGCACGACTTTTTACTATTAAGAGCTAGTAAGAAGTATTCTTGCCATCAAGAAAAATTCATCGCTGGTATAGCATCATGATGTGAGAAGGAGACATCAGTTCCATGGGGCAAATAATCTACGCAGTGCAGCTAACGACACTCCTTTCAATCAATAGCCAGTGAAATCACACTGCTAATTAGTACTGAGGGTTTTTCTATCAACATATTTACACTTTTAAGCAGCTAACCCGCTGATAGACACTGCACCACGGCTGCATCACTCACCCTGTAAGAGCCGGGTGAGTTTGGAATCCCTGTATGGTACATGCTGTTTCCTCTGATTCTCATCACCAAGAGCAGAGATGACATTTCCCAGAGCGAGGAGGCCTAGGTTGATGTTCACACCTAAAACCCAGAATCGCAAGATTGATTGTCAGAAACGTTATAAATGGTTATTCAGCATTCGTAATAGTTTTTTAAATTTTCCGCGACATGTAGAAAACTTTTAACTTCTATAGAAAAATTAGATTTTTGCTGTAAGTTTTCTAGGGGAAAAGTAGAAGATTCTGCCCAATTTCGACCTCTGGTTCTAAGCCCAAGATGTTTAATATGTCATGCACAACAGTATGACATCAAAGACTTTTTAACTTTACAAGTTCTATTCATGTTTCTAACAACAGGCCTGTTGCTTCTTAGTGCAAATTGCCTGATTTAATTACAATATATATTCTAACTCAACCAATAGTTAAATATGACTTGTTATACAACCTTCTTTAAATCTGTCGCCTTCAGCCTTTGTCTTCTTGACACGTTCAGATCCTGCCAAATCAACCAGATGGAACTTGGCCTTGCAGTAATCTCCACTATTGCCAAAAGTAAAAAAACAAAATCACACACCACTTCTGACACCAAACACCAAATCTGATGCATTCTACACACAGTCACGGCACACAAATAACGTGCATGTTCTTTTGCACGATAATCACCTACAGGAAACCATCGAGCAACGCTAGCGCGTACCTGTCCTTATGCCGCATCTCGATGTGGATGGTGAAGACGGCGTGGGAGCGACTGGATGTGGTGTTCATCGCTGTGGAAGCGGTGGTGCGGCCGGCTGATCCCTCGTCCAGACACTGCAGCATGTCCTTAGCACTGCTGACAATCACCTCTGACAGACCTGCGATCTACACATCACGCACACACTTCATTACTGCTATGCACACGTGGGAAGTGATTCGCTGGAACACGTTTTAATGCTGCGACATGCCTGAGGCCTACTAGCTTTCGAGCCATCTTGCAGTCCAAGTTGTCTAATGCCTACTTAAATATTATTGGTATGAGGTCGGTCAAGCTCACCCAGTATGTACCTGATTCAGTGTGCACGCCTAAATAAATGTTGAGTTAATCTGTGACACTTTGATACCAACCATTGTGTTTAGACTATCCTCAACACTGATCGGTTAGATCTACCTGTCAATTGTACTTTATGATCATACTATGACTCCTTTCTGGAGAATTGACAACTACTGAGCGAGATAATAACTCGAGTCACGAAAGATTTTGATAGTTTGAACTCTACACGTTTGTGATTACATTTACAAGTGCATACTGCCACCGTTAAATAAATGGTAACGGAGGTGTGACGCTTGTCAATAGCGTACTCTGTTCTTATATTAATTACATTAATTACTTAGTACATTTTGCTAATTCAGTCTCCACAAACCTTAATGCCATTGTTCTCTGGATCCTCTCGTATGGCTATGCCATCCTTCTCTGGCCTTAGGAGGTCGTGTATCTCTTCATTATGTAACTATATCAACACACAGTGATTCACAAAATATAGTTTCGGAAACTAGTTATTGCTCCTCTAGAAAATTACACCCCCACATAAACAAAAACCTACAGCCGTACACGTAAAAACCATCGTTAAGAGTAGCATGTATAGCATTTTTTTACGATTCTTGGCAGGTATCCAGACAATACTCTACCGTACCTCTAAAAAGGACACACGCAGGACAAACTCCCAGTCTTTCTTGGTTTTCATGGTGCTGAATATGTCAGCAACTGCCCGAGGTATAATGCCTTTCACCTCTTGCTCTACGTTTTGGCCTCCACTTCCCATTGTGTATGTTTTACCGCTTCCAGTCTGACCATATGCCAATACTGTGGCATTATAGCCTGAAATTCAAAAATTATTCACATTAAATTATGCATATAATATAATGTGCCCAGCATGTTTTTCACACAACCCAGCACCATTACAGTTGACATACATAAATGAGAATAATATACAAACAGGAAACTTCTTAAGTTGGTTATTACAACAAGTTTTCAGTAAGCATTATCATTCTAGTAACTATGAATACAATAATTTACATAGATCAAAATCACAACTTGAAGTGATATTAATTGCATATAAATTTACCTTTGAACAGGCCAGCTATTAGCTTTTGGACTGAACCTCTATAAACCTCCTCCTGGCCGACGTCAGACGCATAGACATAGTCGTAAGTAAATGTCTTTTCTTTCCCCGCTACAACCTGTTGAAATAGAAAATATTTCCATTGTTAACTGACAGTGACAAACACAATTAAATACTAACTAAGGAGCCAAGCTTCAAGTTAAAAAAGCATGTCATTTGTCACAAGATGTGGTACAATGTTTCACAACAATTCAACATCAAGAAGGGCCCTTCTAGGAACATCAAGGGGAACATTGGAAGGAACATCAAGAGACACCTGTGGCTCGTTCGGTACGAAGGTCAAGCATTGTTGGCATCCTTCATTCCGCTCCTTGCTGACGAGTGGTCTACAGCGAAGTGCTACTTTCACAGATATCACTTTCGCAGCATCCTCTGTTATACCCATGTTTATCTACAATGGATAATGTACTTTAATGATAAATTAATCAAAATCTACACTATACAAACTGAAATTGGTCTGCAAAAGACCAAGAAGAAAGTACCTGGTAACTAGAACTACAACCTGGCTCTATCAGTGAGGCTCATAGGGTCTATGTCCCCCAGGGTACTGCCGGAACGTACCCTGGGTACGGTCCCGTATACCGGAACGTACCCTGGTAACTATCTAGCTGATATGGTTTAAGGGTTAGGGTTAGGGTTAGTGTTAGGGTTAGGGAGTAGGCGTAGGCGACTCCCTAGACTCGTTAGTGGAGTAGGCGAGGTACGGTCCGGCATATTAGATAGTAGTATTTAATACCAGGGTACGTTCCGGTATACCGGACCGTACCCAGGGTACGTTCCGGCAGTACCCTGGGGGACATAGACCCTCTCAGTCTCAGCACCAGTGAGTGTAGCCTTTCGCTCCCAGTCCCACTACAAGAGTGGGAGCAGGAGCAAAGGTGCTCCTTCATCCTGTAAGTGTAAAGCCTATTTTAAGGTACCCGCTCTAGCATATAACTTAGATGCAAAACATTCAAATTAATTGGTCTTCTACTATGGCAGGCTCTAAACTAAAGCCTCTATCTTCGTATCGAAATAGACCGCCATTAATTATCAGTTCCTTTCACAAAGTTCTAGCTCGAAGATCTAACCGTTGTGACATATATCTGGTCAAGAAGTAATCTTATATCTTTCGTTGCAAACATTTGCTGCAGTAATGCATAGAAATGGAAATAATACCACCATATGGCACTAAAGTAACAGTAACAATAACAGTAGACCCCCCTACATAAATTTGAAGCTGAGCGGTATTAACGGAGTAGTGCATTTTACTATTTAGTCGTAAAATACCATTCACATACGCGTGTGCTCTTACCGACTAATATAACTACTGCCACGGAGATATAATGATCAATTCTACGACGAACTTCGTAATGAAATCACAGGTACGGAGTATATGCTGAGCAATAATCGAATGAACACAAACTCTACAACTACATCGCAAATCGTCGCTATTTTCAAAAATGGCGCGGCGACTCCGCTTTACCCACGTGACCAACGTGAAATTGTTTTATTGGCAACCAGGGGGAGCTGTCAGTCACGCACGTATCGGGTTCCTGGTTTACGCGCATACGCCGCATAGCCGCGGGCCGCGGCAATCGGAACACTAAGCGCTTGTGACTGCACGATATCGGAGCGAGTGAGCGATGTACCGCGCTTTATGATTGTGATCGTTTCGCATCGTTTCGACTAGGATGTAACATTTGCACGCGCAAGTAAACTGTAAATATGAGCGAAAACCGCACATTGAGCGTTCTGCTCATCGTAACTGTCTTGTACTTATCGAAAATCGGAGAAACGCAAGCCCGCCAACAGTTCACGGCGCGACCGCAGAATCACACTGTGATACAGGGAAGCGAAGTCGTTCTCCGCTGCCGCATCCGCGACCGGGAGGGACCCGTGCAATGGGCGTACGACGGCCGACCGTTCGGCCACGTGACGGATTACTCTTTACCTGGCTACCCACGCTACTCGATGGTCGTTAACGAGGAGCAGGGTCAGTTCGACTTCAAGATCGCGCAGGCAACGCTACCCGAAGACGACGCGAAGTTCGAGTGCCAGGTGCTCGGCGAGCCGAAGCTGCGCGGCGCTGCCATGGTAACGGTGATCGCGCCGCCCGAATCGCCGCGAATTCACGGCGTTCCGAACGGCACCGTCGTCGAGATGGTGCCGGGAGACGCGCGCAACTTCACATGCGTGTCCAACAACGGCAAGCCGGCTGCGGCCGTCAAATGGCTGCGTAATGGACGGCAGTTGACGACCGATGTGTGGAACACGGTGACGGACGCTGTGCACAAGCGCGAGAACGCGCGCAGCATGCTGCTGCTGCGACCCAACAAGGAGGACAACGGAATCCGCGTCGCCTGCGAGGCGCACAGCCAGGCGCTGCCGTCGCCGCTCTACACCGCCTTCTACCTGAGCGTGCTGTACGCTCCGGGTCCGCCGAGCATCCACGGCTACACGAGCGGTAAGGTGGTGCGGCAGGGCGACGCAATGCGGCTCGTCTGCGTGTCGCACGACGGCAACCCGCTCGCGTCGCTGCGCTGGAAGCGTAACGGAGTCGCCATCGACCTCTCCTTCTTCACGCTCGACCGCGAACGCCTCGCCAACAACCCGCACAACTTCACCGCGCGCGCCGCCGACAACGACGCCGTCTACCGGTGCGAGGCGACGAACGCCTTCATGGAGCGCAACAACATGGCGCCGCTGACGGCCGAGGTGCGCGTGCGCGTGCACTTCCCGCCGGCGAGCGTCGAGATCCTAGGTCACGATGAGGTCACCGAGGGAGGTCGTGTCAACCTAACGTGCGTGACGGCGAACAGCAACCCGCCGGCGGAGATCTCGTGGATCGTCGACGGACGCGGCATCGACGGGCGACCGGATGGCGCGGAGGAGTCGGTGGACGGCGGCTATGTGACGCGCTCGAGCGTGACGCTGCGGCTGCGCGAGAAGCGACGCAGCGTCGTCGTCTACTGCCAGGCGGTGAACGCCGCGCTCGGCCAGAGCGCCATGACGACGAAGACGCTCACCGTCGTCTACCCGCCCAACCAGCCGACGATCCTCGGCTACTCGGAGGGCGCCACCGTCGTCGCCGGACAGGTGCAGCGACTCATATGCATGGTCGTCGACGGCAACCCGCAGCCGGAGGTCACGTGGTGGCGCGACGACGTCGAGCAGACGGGCGACGGGGTTGCCACGACGACCGATCAGAACGCCGTCAGCGTGCAGCTGACGATCGTCGTCTCCCCGAGCGACAACAGCGCCGTCTACCGTTGCCGCGCCAGCAACGCGGCGACGGAACCCGGCGCCCTCGAAACGAACACGACCCTCGCTGTCCACTTCCCGCCCTACTCCGTCGCCATTACCAGTGACCCTGAGGTCGCGCGCGCCGACAACGCCGTGACCTTGACCTGCCGGTCGGCGAGCAGTAACCCGGCCGCCGAGGTCACGTGGCTGAAGAACGGTCGGCGGATCACGGCGACGCCTAACGGCACGCACGCGGGCGACTACGGCGGAACGGTGACCACCAGCTTCCTGCGCGTGAACCTCACCGCAGACGACGACCAATCGGTGGTGAGCTGCCGCGCGAAGAACGCTCTGCTCGCGCACACGGCGCACCAGGACGTGACGCTGAACGTGCTGTACCCGCCGACGTTCGCCGGCGACGTGCCCCGCAACATCGACGTCATCGAAGACGCGCCGCTCATCGCCAACTACAGCGCGCGCGCCAACCCGGCCGACGTCGCGTACCAGTGGAAGAGGGACGGCGAGGAGTTCGAGGAGATACGCGGGGGTCGAGGGGAGGAGCACGTACGCACGGACGGACGAGTGATGAAGGTGCTTCAGGCTTACCGCAACGACACGGCCGTCTACACGCTGTCGGCGCAGAACTCCGAAGGCACGACGGCGATCGATATCGCCGTGAACGTCATGTACGCGGCGAAGATCGTGCAGACGACGTCGCCGGTCGTCGTCCGCCAGGGGGCGCCGGCGACGCTCGAGTGCGACGCCGAGGGGAACCCGATGCCGGAGACGATCGTCGCGTGGTCGCGCGCCGGCTACGACATGTCGCGCGCGCGCGTCACCCCCGGTCGCCAGTCGACGTTGACGGTTGACGCCGTCGCTAAGGAGGACGCTGGCGCGTTCGCATGCGAGGTGTTTAACGGCATCGGGGAGAGCGCGCGGGAGGAGATCCGTCTCGTCGTCCTCTTCTCTCCGATCATCGACCGCTCGCCTCGCTTCTCCCGCGCCGCCTCGGAGAACGGCGCCACGGCGCGGCTCCTCTGCGTCGCGCAAGGTCACCCAGAGGTCAGCTTCTCGTGGTCGCGAGGGGGCGCCAAGGTGAACACGACGACGCGGCGGAAGTTCGAGATCGAGTCGCGGAAATACGACGACACGCACTTCGAGAGCATCCTGCGCGTTGCGGCCGTCACTCCCCTCGACTACGGCGAATACGCCTGCCTCGCACAGAACAGCCAGGGTGCGCAGGAGACCACCGTCCGGCTGGGCGGGACCAGCCGCCCAGACGCGCCGTACGCGCTCGCTGTCGTTGACAAGTCGTTCAACAGTGTGAAGGTGACGTGGACGCCGGGCTTTGACGGCGGCCTGCACCAGGCGTTCCGCGTGCGCTACCGGCGCCTCGACGACACGGCAGAGGTGTATCACTACGTCGACGTGTACCCGACGAATGCCACCGAGTTCCTCGTGCCTGGCCTGGAGCGTAACACCGAGTACGAGCTGTCCGTGATGGCCTATAATAGGTACGCGGCTTCTGGGGTGGCATTTTAGATTTTAGATATTTAATTTTCCAGATTAAGGGCGTGGGGTGTGTAACGACGGCCTGCAATAGCAACGCGGTATCTAAAAGCTGGAGGTGTTTTATGAAGGCTCTAGTACTATCAGGAGTCTATCATTAGACACCATATTGACTCCAATTGACTCATAGACTCCTGGTACTATAGCCCTTGTTGCCACAGGCCACAAGGGCTATAGTACTAGAGCTAGATGGTCTACATTAGGTGGGCAGTTTCTAAAGGACGACGAGCTCTGATGGCTTGCATTACGTACGTATGGTGTTCCAAAATTGCCATCGCGCGTCGTGCGATTCAAATGTGCGACGTCGCGCACGACGTCGCACATTTCTGTTCCATAATTGCCGTCGCGTCGTGTTTTTTATTCCTTCCTCAACCACGACGTCGCCCTTGTCAAACACGACGTCGCCCTTTTCAAACACGACGTCTCCCTTTTCAAACGCGACGTCGCCCTTTTTTAACCGTGTTCCATAAATGCCATCGCGCGGCGTGCGGCCCATCTAATTTCGACCACTTTTTACAATTTTATAAATATTGTTTACAGTTTGTTGTAAACATAGCTGGGTATTCTACCTCCGGCGACGTCGTGTTTGAAAAAGGGTGACGTCGTGTTTGAAAAAGGGCCACGTCGTGTTTGAAAAAGGGCGACGTCGTGTTTGAGGAAGGAATAAAAAACACGACGCGACGGCAATTATGGAACAGAAATGTGCGACGTCGTGCGCGACGTCGCACATTTGAATCGCACGACGCGCGATGGCAATTTTGGAACACCATACGTACGAGTTATCTAACGGATCTGAGGTGTATCATGATGGTTGAATATATATATAGGCACGATATATATACGTCAAGAGTAGATAATAACACAAGAGTGAGACAACCGATTCCCGCATTTTTAACCGATTTTTCTCATCAAAATTTGCCACCAATAAAGAAGCAAGTGTATACGTTCCTCAGCTTATTATGACCACTAATCACTCACCTTCATGGTACTGATATTCGTTTACATATATTTGCTAGAGTATTGCTGTAAATCGTGTATTACTGTATGTGTTATTATCTACTCTTGATATACGTCTAATATATACTCGCTTCTAAAGAGTGAATAGTGCGTGTAATATTACCAAGAGTTAATAATACCTATTATATATATTATATATAATATATAATATATTATTATATATATCATATATAGGTATTATTAGCTCTTAATGTTACGTTTTTTTTCGGGGCTGGGAGTATTGATTCCGTGCGTCCCTGTGACCGGACCGAGCCCACGACTCGTTGTTTCTCAATGAGTTAGAGACTCTGTTGAGAGCGGGGGGGGGGGGGAGGTAACGTGGTCTGTAGTAGACGCGAGGTATCTATAGTAGATGGAGATGAAGCCCCTAAAACATAAGAACAGGAATTTATAGAGGGCGGGGGAATGGCGCGTTTGCAGGGGAGCTTAGCAAGGTTTTATTTGTTTATACCCCCGTTTACTGTCACGCGCATTTGCACAACGTATTCGGAGCGCCACATGCCAGTAGTTACATAAATGTAATCGAACCTGCAGATGCGATTCTGTGATATTCAGAGAAGATTTGTAAAGATTAGTCGGTTATAAAGGAAAGTAATTTATAATAATAATTTAGGAATGTAATCTATCCTAATGTTTTATTTTGCAGACTGGGCGATAGTGGATACCAGCAGACAGCCATTACAACTAAGACAGCTAGCGAAATACCAGCAGAAGCAGGTAGTTGAACCCTTCTCACATTCTGCTTTACATTTTCCGAACTATCCCCTCTCGTTTGAATATAGACTGCGATTGCTTTTAGGCAAATGAGAACAAAGTTTCTGCGTACCCCGCTCAACAAACAGAGTGCTCTCGCATATGCGCGCTCCAGTAACTGTATATAACACTTGATAACACTCGCGACCATCCCCGGTAATCAAAGCCATCCCGGTAATTAAAGACGAAACAGCGCAGCATCGTTGCTTTGATTGGATCGCAGTTAGCGAAAACCAGCGCGATGGTTTGATTCGCCGTTCAAAGTCGCAACTCGATCGCACTCTCCCCCGGGGAGGGAAACATTCGTGAAGCGATCGCGGCAAGCGATTTCGTTCGGTAACAGTAACCGTGGCTACTCCGTGGCTGTTCGGTACTCCGGGTAAGCGAGCTGGCTTCAGCCTGGCGCACGTTATCCGTGCTGGTGGCCTCTACCTCTTAGCGCGTGTTTGGGTAGACATGTATCCGCGTCCGGCAGACGATCGCTGATGATGGTAATGTTAGAGCTGGAGTCGCGTCGTCGGTGTCACCGTCTCACCTTACGTAAAGAAATTACGCGCGTGTTTAGGCGCGCGCAAAAAATGTAGCAAAAAGGGGATGGCGTAGAGCCGTAGAGCACACACAGGCACTTGGGACAGAGACAGTAAAAACTGAAAACAATATGAACGCACATTCACAAATACTACCGTAGGCCTTACCTCGCAATTACAGTTCCACTGTTGTGTCACTGTATATACGATAATGATAATAATATATCAAGTTAAAACTTTATATGATAATGATAATAATATATAACTTTATATATTATTATCATTATCATGTCGACACCGCACACCCGCAGCGGCGAGTGCGGGAGCGTTCGGCGTTAGTTTTTATGAAGGAAAGTTGATATACAGTGACACAACAGTGAAACTGTAATTGAGAGGTAGGGCCTACGGTAGTATTTGTAAATGTGCGTTCATATTATTTTCAGTTTTTACTGACTCTGTCCCAAGTGCCCGTGGATACACACGTGCAGCGCGTGTCGTATGTCCCTCAGCTAGCTGCTAGTGAGTTGTGGGGACTAGTCATACGAGCTGCTCACTGTACAGCGAGCGATATATGATTACACCGTTGTTTGCTCAGCTTTCGTCGACATCTGCTCATGTCCGCTTACCTAACTCCTTGCTGACGTTGCAATTAAGTGACACAGATATGGGAAGAGTTGTCAGTTGGCTTGGCCGACGTTCTCCTCGGTGGATACGCGGCGAATTTCGCATTTGCTGGACAAGTCAGACAACGGGAACGTGATGAAATGGAGAAAATTCAATGCCGGCGAAAAGAGAAAGAAGAAGGGTGAAGATGATGATGATGATGATGATGATGATGATGATGATGATGAGGAGGAGGAGGAGGAGGAAGAGGAGGGGGAGGACGATGATGATGAGGCGAATAAAAACGAAAAAGAACAATCGGTAGCTAAATGCCGATTGAATGCGATGGTGCGAAGGCGTTTTTTCAATTTCTGAAAGGTCACCTTTTAGAAGCCGTGATGTGACACTCACGTAAATCAAGCGGCTGCGACATTTAAACACGTTTACTGTAAACAAGTTTCAATTTGTGACCCGCGGTGATGTAGTTCGGCTCAGTTATATTGGATCGATACTGGGTCATCTAGATTTTACATCTTTGCAGTTTCAGTGGAAACACAAGAGGCTAGATGGTATGTGGTGGCCTCGATTGGGACATAACAAAGCCCTTATCAGAAAGCCAGATTGTTATGGCTAGCACTCTCTCTCTCTCTCTCTCTCTCTCTATCGCTCTCTCTCGCTCTCACTCACTCTCTCTCTCTCTCTCGCGCTCTCATTTCTCTCTCTCCACCCGCTCTCCCTAATTTCTCTCTCGCCCCCGTTCCCTCGCCACCCTAGGCCTCTCTCCCCCCCACACTCTCTCTTTCTCTCTATCAGTCGCACTCTTCCTCCCTTTCTCCCATATCCTCCCCTATCCTTATCACACTCCCACACACGCCCTATCGCTCTCACTCCTTTCCTTAGTCCCCTACTCACTCCCCACTGTGTCAGTGTCGAATATCGCTTGTCATGAAGTTCGGTGAATAACTTATGAGAACTCTACGCGCGTGTAAACTTCGTTGACAGCTCAGCAATGCGTAGCGCTGGCATACACGCGCTAATTGACTAGCTGTGTAGACCCAAGCTCGCCACAGGCCGTCAGCCGCTCGAGTTGCAGCACAAATTGAACAGCGCATGTTTAGTGTGTAGTAGTGTGTAGGGGAGCCACATCTCGGGCGTACACTCGGTGCTCGCGCGGGCAGGCGTACACGTGTTCCCGTGCCTACGCACGTTAAGTACGTACGGTCGGGCACACCGCGTGCCCCCCCCCCTCTCGCCATGTGTCCGTACCGCAACTACTGTATACGGAGAGGGAGAGAGAGAGACACCCAAGCCTCGGTTGAGAATCTCTTCGCCAGATGTGAGTTTCTGCGGGTGGCGGCAGCGACTGTTGTCCGCCTGTACTCGGTGCGTGCAGTCGCGGCAGCAGTGTCGGCGCGAAAAAGAAAAATGGCGACGAGCAGATGTGTCCATGCTATCGCTTCCACTGCGCGCGACTCTAGCAGTGTATGACAATAAACTAGATGCTGCTGGACAAAAAAATACTGCAAGGGCAAAAAAGTTACTTGTTGCGTAGTAGAACCGCCTGCGATGCTGAGCTGTAGAAAACATATCTACGGACCACCGGGTCTGATAATTAATTAATATCTGAGAAGGTGGCGTCTATGTAGATGAAATAGCACTATTAACCATTCCGGGGTTAGACGAAACGGGAGTAGATGAAATGGGAAGTAGATGAAGTGAAAAGTAGACGAAGTGGGAAGTATACGAAATGAAAAGTAGACGAAATGGGAAGTAGGCCTCTACGAAACGGGAGTGGCCGAAATTGTAATAGACGAACCGGGATGTTACCGCGTCGATAGTGGCGGGTAGCGAGGCTACGTGTGTATGTATGCAGGCAGTTACCTGTGCCGAGCTAGCGGTAGGCGGGGCTCGGAGTTTTTGCACGCGTGTTTTGTTACAGGTGAAATTTCAACACGCCTCATTAGTGCTTAATTAGCAAGGCTTCTCTCCCTGTAATATTTAGTTAACATATGTAATTATAGTATGCGCATATTCAACCGGGCACGGTGGCAACCAGCGACCGGTCATTTGTTAATGTAAATTGGCAATTGGCCAATTGTTAATTGCCAATATCAATGTTATTGTATTTGACAGAAGTAATGTCTTTTTCTTCACTACACTACTCTTGACCTAGCCACTGCAGCACACAGTACCTATAACACGGTGGCTAATACTACACTACTACTATTGATAGCGTTAGTTATTCCGAAAAACAGGTATACTTCCATCCTAGTCCACGTGAAACCGCCGGTCGATCCACGCGGTAATCGAGTTGATTCGTGTTTGTTGCTGTTGTGTTGTGCAGGTATCCTCGGCATCAGGAAGGGAAGTGACAAGATGCCTATTCTTCTCATCGTCGCCATTGCCATCATCGGAGCGATTCTACTGGCAATCAACATCATGCTCGTGATCTACTTTGTCAAGTATAGACGTGGCAAGAAGGAGGAGGAAGGTGAGTGAGGGCTGCGCTTGTGGATGAAATAGCGTGCACTAAGCAAAAAAGAAGAAATGAAAGAAGAAAAGTATAAGAAGAAAGGTGGGTCGTACATCGGAGCAGGGAGACCCGTGAGGGAAGGAAGGCGGAAAGTACGTAGTGGGTGAGGATCGAGGAGCGTAACGAGAGAGGAGGTGTAAAGAGAAGGCTAGAAAGAAGCGTTAGCTCGTTAGAAGCCAGGAGCGCGATGAGGAGGAAGCTGGAGAAACTGAGCGAGAAGGAGAAGTGTACGCTGTGCCTCGGGAAGGGAAGGGCGTGAGAGGGAATGCGTTGAGAAAAAAGTGGAAACGGTGTGGGGTGGGGTTATAAGATGACAGCTAAACTGGGTGGAGGCTGACACGATGTGATGGGGGTTATAAGATGACAGCTGAACTGGGTGGAGGCTGACACGATATTAGGGTGGCTGGTAACGCCTAACAGTCAGGTTTCCGTAATGTGTGTATATGTTTTTTCTCTACGAACCCTACATATATACGCCTACGCTCTTCCTTTACATTGGGTTTTCGCACGTGCATCGCTCCCCCCTCCCCCGCATGTGTTATCCCCTCATCAGAGACCATCTAAAAAGAGCTAGACATTCTTGCTGACCTTTCTTCACACCAACGTGCTGCTATTGAACGGCACGCTTTTTATTACAGTTCCCGTGGAGGTTTTCAGGGCGGCAAAAAAAACACCGGCTATATGCAGTCGCGTACTCACTACTCACGCTAGTTGTTATTGTCTGTTGCGACGAATGGAAATCGGCATGCTAGTAGAATCGTCAGGTTCATTAGAACAGACGCTTGTTCATTAGACACGAGGCCGATATTTCGTTCGGTAAACGCGTAGCAATTACTCGATTGTTTCTTCGAATGATTCAAAAGGTCCCTGAACCCACCGGTAGCTTGTTTCTGTGAAAAGAGTCGACGATAATTAACAATTGCAGTATAGAAAGACTTTTAATCCCGTGCCAATGAAGCGGAGTCGCGGCGCTGAGAGAGGCTGTTATGTTTTAAGACGATGAACTACTGATTGTCATTTATCATTATCAGAAGTCGGTCACATTAATTCATGTAAAAGTATACCAAACTTTCATTCATATTCACTCCTAATGCATATGTGGTAAGCATTACATAAAAGATACGAATATTATACTGGAGTGATGAATTTCGATTGTTATTTTCAGCTATATTTCATCGTTCCTTTCGTCCCCGTCGTACATTTAAGGCCCCCGCACACGGTGCGCATGCGCTGTTACAGTTTGCGACATTAGTTACATAAGTTAGTTACAGCCATTGCGTTTGTTTTTGGCTTAATAAAATTATAAAAAAATACTACGGCCCTATTCGAACATCGAGTATTTTGGCTGCGATGTTTTTGCCGGCGTGTGTCGCTGTAGTATACGCTCTACTTTACTACGTGGCTCTATGGTTCCATGAAAGCCGGCTGAAACCCTAGCGGTGCCCGCTCAGCAGGCCCGGCCGTGTCCCTCAAAGCAAACAGCTAGCGCGCACATGAGCGCCGAAATTGAGCCCGAAATGCCACCGCGAGCTCCTGCTGTGCCGATACAGACTCCTGGTGGAATAACAACGGGCGACGCTAGGGCCGGTGGCGGGGGCAGTGGACCAAGGGGCAGGCGGACCCCGGAGCTGCGGCAGACAGCGAGTGGGGTGGGGGAAGAAGGTTTCTCTAGTTACTAGAATGCGTGGTGAAGTCTCGGTTGTGAAAAGATTTTCGCACCGTTTTCGTTGTGTAAGCAGTCGGCAGTGCGGAGGTGTGAACCGAGAGAAGACACAGTTACAGAGATGTGCGTGAAGATAAAGACGCAGCAAGGAAGGGGGAAGTTCCGACAGTGCTATACAGAGATTAGCGAAACAGGCACGGGAAATATACAATAAAAAGGTCATATAAATAAATGGAACGGAGACCCGAGAACAAAGAAATAACCCGATTATCAATCAATCGTAAAGCTGCATTAGGAAGGAAAGAGACGTGCCGATTATGGATAGAAACTAATTGGGGAAAGGGAGGGAGGGAGGGAGGGAGGGA